AAAGAAGAAGGAAAAAGAGGAAGCTGAACGAAAGCAGAAAGAACAAGAGGAAGCTGAACTAAAGAAGAAGGAAAAAGAGGAAGCTGAACGAAAGCAGAAAGAACAAGAGGAAGCTGAACTAAAGAAGAAGGAAAAAGAGGAAGGTGAACGAAAGAAGAAGGAAAAGGTGGAAGCTGAACGAAAGAAGAAGGAAAAAGAGGAAGCTGAACGAAAGCAGAAAGAACAAGAGGAAGCTGAACTAAAGAAGAAGGAAAAAGATGAAGCTGAACGAAAGAAGAAGGAAAAGGAGGAAGCTGAACGAAAGCAGAAAGAACAAGTGGAAGCTGAGATTAACAGAAGGGAAAAGGAAGAAAATGATCGTAAGAAGGAACAGAAAGAAACCGAGCTTAAGGAGAAAAGAAAAGAAGACGATGGCAAAAAAGAAGAGAAAGAATTTAGAAAAGAGGAACAAGAAGAAACTCAGTGTAATACGAAAGATATAGAAGAATCAAAACTTATTAAGCGTAAAGAAGAGTCTGAATGTGAGAATACTGAGGAAGTTGAGGTGATTGCGAAGAAAACGGAACATAGCAAAACTAAACAAGATGTTAAATTGAAGATAGAGGAAAAAGAAGCTGATAAGAATATTGAGAAACAAGAAACCAAATATAAAAATGAACTGTTGTCGGATCTTTTGAATAAGGAAGAAGCACCAACTTCACAAAAGAATGTGGAGCAAGCAGAACCCATCAGTAAAACGATTACAGTTGAACAAATTGAATCACGACAAGAGAGAGAAATTATGATAGAAAATAACTATATAAAACAAAAACGGAGATCGGATGAAAACAGTTATAATCAAGCTGAAGGAGAATTGGAATCCGTCTTCCACATCACTTCAGAGAACGCTGACAGCTCGGAAGGAACTGTGCCTTCGCCTCGACAGAAGAGAAGTAGACCAGTTGCTGAGAATGCCAAAGAAGACGCTGCTATAACTACAACAAACTCCTTACAGAACGAGCAGGGAAAATTAAGCTCTGGGGTACAACACTCCGAAGTACAGTGGGTTGCTGGGGGAATAACCCAAAGAACTCGAAGTTTTGACCAGAAACCATGGGCTGAGGAGGAGACATTGAGCCGCCAGCGACAGTATGACGACTCACTCGAGAGCAGCGAAACCATTACGTGCAGCTCCTCATCCAGCACTCTGACCCCCACCTTGCATCAGCAACCCCGAGAGAGAACGGAAGAAACCCGACGAATCGTAATCAAGGAAAAAGTTCAGGTGAGCTAATCGAGTCTGTTGCTACGCTTATTTAACGAAGCTGTTTCTGATGTACAATTTATACAGAGTTGAATGAAATCGGAAGATTATCGTGGATAGAGAGCGGGTTGCCGTGGTGTGTTTGAATTGGCTATTGCAGATTTCGACTGGAATTATTAGCCCTAGCCATAATATCTCATTTAAACAGCGATAATCTGGGAGATTCAAGCCATGTTCCTCTCAAATACAAGTGCGGAACGCTTCCGTTATACCATCCTCCTTTGTGCCATCCTTTTCATCAGTCAAAATTATTCCTACAGTTAAACTTTCGTGCGACTGCCATACCAGTGTTGTTGGTGGTTACCAACAGCTTCAACGCTGCTGTAACATTCATACAGAGGTTCATGAAAATCTGCTGATGTGATAGAGATACACATCGCATGCCGATATACTTCCCCCTTCCTTTCGTGACAGTCTTACGAGTTAATTGCCAAATACAAGGAAGGATCGCGACTTTTGTTCATCTGTCCGCATGTTTCAGTTCCAAAATCACTGACATATAATTTGATTTAATTCTTGACCAAGTCATTGTGTACACCACAGCTCAATGCCCTAATTGACGTTATTTTTGTGTTTTTGGAAAAGGCTTCGTATAACGCATGTTCAATTAGTGTTTTATTACTTCTTTTTAAAACATTTTGTTTAATCACAAATTGCCCAGTATGCCTTACCTCACCCTCTGCATTTCGCTGACACGTTCATAACACTGCCGTGAGTTGCAGTCAGGACCGAGGGATGCCAGGAAGAAGCCAACGTTTGCTACTCGTCTAACGGACCGATCGGCGGCACAGGGATCCCGCATCAAGCTGACGTGCAGCGTCCTGGGCAGCCCAGAGCCAGTCGTGGAATGGCTGAAGGACGGCTTGCCCTTGGTGGGGGAACAGCGTTACAAGACTCGCTGCGAGGACGGCCTGGCCTGCCTCGAAGTACTCAATGCGTCTACGGGAGACTCCGCGGAGTTCACATGCGTGGCTCGCAACCGGCATGGCGAGGCCTCCTCCTCAGCCACTCTGAAAGTATTCGCGGGATTCGAACCGGCTCCTTCACCACCCACGTTTACCAGACCCATCAAAGGTATTTTAACACAAGAAGAGTCGACCTTATTGTTAATACACGTCATCCCCTCTCCGATCATTTCTTGGTACTTGTGGGTTATCGGGACACATAACTTTAAAAATAGGTTAGGTTAGGTTAGTTTAGGTTAATGTGTGTGGACAGCAATAAATAACTGAACTAACTAACAGATAACAACAACCCTAACCTAACATAACCTAACCTATTTTTAAAGCGATGTGTCCCGATAACCCACTAGTACCCATTTCTTGTTTTATGTATCTCTTTGAGCTAGGAAAGTTGTATAAGACGTGAAAGAAATCAGTATTCAATAACCAGGAACACTTTAAGAAGAAACTGAGGTAAACTATTGAAAATATCCAGTCAAGAGTTTAGCTCAGGAATCCTAAATTCAAAGCAGGGGAGGTAGCTACCACCCTGTGACTTTTATTATGACACTTTTTCCTTTCAAAATGTTGAGTACAATATAATTTGAGGTTCAAATGGTGGTGAGTATGAAGATGGTTGTCTTCTGGGTTGTAGCACTGTGTGGTCTGGTAGAAGTTTACCAACTTTTCACAAGTCCTTGCTGCACCCATCGTCACCAAGATGACTGAAGCAGTAAGCATATCAGAAAACTTCAGTCAGTTTTTACCATTCCACATGGTGCAACATCCCTTAAAATTCTCACATTCTTCTTCATATGTCAAAGGAATAAAATGCAGTGCTTCACAGTTCTGCGTTTGGTTTGGCAAACACAAATGGCCAGACCAGAACGACTCGATCAGCAATTTATTTTCTACGCAGATTCATACCGCTTTTCGGATGACGAGTTGATCTTGGAATGCCGGGTGCGATGCCATCCACCGCCCAAGATCACCTGGCTGAAGGATGGCATGTTGCTGCAAGGAAGCAGCCGGTTCCAGCAGAGTGAGCTGACAGATGGGGTGTGTCGCTTGGTCATCAGCAGCCCTGAAGCCACCACTGATAGTGGGCTGTACACATGTCGTGCAGAAAACAGTGTGTGGAGTGACCAGATATCCTCAACTGTCCACTTTGCAGGTACTGAGGCTGTTACAGTGAGAGTTGAATGAAGGAATATGAGCCACATTACCAAACAACGATGTCTGAATGGAGGTGCTTATGAGCTCTGTTCTAGTTCTCACACATTACTGCAGATGACTTTCTTATTTCTGAAACTTGCTTTTGGCAACCTTATTTATTGACAATTATATTGTGAAGGACACAACTACCAAAGATTAAATGTAAAGCACTGTTAATTATAAAATGCTTTGTGGTTTATGTTTATGATACAGCCATACTTTGTGTCTGCTGCTGAACTTAATATTTGCTTCAGGTAATACTCCACCTTCAGATGAGGTGTGCTTCTTAGAATTTACAGCCCTGTCCAAGTTTTGTTATCAGAATTTGAATTAATTTAGATGACTGAGCCTGGAAAATGGGTGCATGCATTTTAGTAGACTGGAAGTGGCCAAGGAGATTTTGTTATTAGTACGTGACCTATAATATGAAGTTTTAAGTTACACATTCTCAGAAAAATAAAACAGCTTTGTTTTTGATATTTCAGAATTATTATTGTTGGTCTGTGATGCCGTGTAGTCTTGTATGTATTTACCAACATTTCAGATGAATTTATCATCTAAAGACCACAATCGATAAGATTTATATTTCTTCTCTTTGCCCTAAGCAAATGTATTTTTTCCTTTAGTTATTCATATTTGTAGATGAGATTTCACACCACTTGTCCTGTTCCTGATAAGTGTCAACTTTCTCATCCTGCAGGACGTGATAGCTACGCTACTTCAAAGAGGTCCAGAGGGACATCTCGAGTGTCCCGAGATGCAAGGCGCCCTCACATGTCCAGTGTGCTTACTGATCATGTTGTGCCTACTGGTGGAACCATTGCCCTCCAAGTTGAAGTAAAAGGTAGGTCATTGGCTTCTTCCGGATACTTTGGTTTCACTATTAGTTTCCATCTTGTGACTTTTCTGGATATGATCTAAGTAACTCCTAACATGGAACACCGTAATAAGATTTATGAGAAATAAATGTCAGAGTAAACGACAAACTCAGCTTTCTAGCTGAATCTACAAACTTCACAGATGGAATTCAATTCTTTTGGTGGATTTTTGATTTCTCTGAAACCCCTATGCTATGGACACTGGGTGTACAGGTGGTCAGGGCATGAACCTGAGCTTCCTAGCTTCATGTATTTGTTTTGATTTGAATAAAACCTTGCTCAAGATTGCATGCGCAGTGGTTCATAATTTTTACACTTGACACTTTTTGGTTTTTGTTGTTGGTAGTTTACAGCTTCAGAACTGCCTAATTTTTCCACAAGTATCCTAAGTTTTGGTCTACAATGTACACACTTTTATTTCTTCTAAAAAAATGTTTACAGTGCCTAAAAATCATAGAGCTTAAAGAATGTGAAATTAGGCGCACCTATCAAGTACACACTATGACAGAGGGGGAGAATGTTTATGTGCCACATTCATGTAGTTTTATCCTGCGTTAATGTTTTTATATCTACACTACATTCCACTACCACTGGGCATTGCTTAACTGTAGTTATAGTGTACCTGTGTGGCAAGTTTGTCCTGGTCACCTAATTTTTATTTGAGTTTGGGCTATTAATAAAAGTTCTGTTGAATGAACTTTTGTATTCTTACAAGGAACAAACAAGATTTTGACTGGTAACCCTTATAAAAGTAATTACTTTGGGAACCAATTTGGGAAATATATTGTAATGGACCTCATAGAATGAGATCTGGATTGAAGTGGTACTCCTATACAGAACAGACCAAACAGCCAGCTTTACGAGTTAGGTGATTTACCTTTGGGTTCCACTGCAGGAAGATTTTCTGTTATAGAATAAATACCAAATATTCAAAAAGACCCTGATACACAGATATTTCTAGTTAGTTGGTTGGTTGTTATTTACTTCTTACTTAGTACTTGGTTCATAATAACTTTGAAGATTTCTCTCTTCTGGGTTGCGCTGTGTAGTCTGGTCGATGTTAACCAACGTTTCAGAACATCGCCCTGATGACAGAGGCAGATGACCTCTGAAACGTTGGTAAACATCGACCAGACTACACAGCGCAACAACCCAGAAGACAGAAATCTTCATACTGACCGCTGTGAAAACCTCAAATCATACATAATAACTTTGTTGGCTGGTTGTATAGTAAGTCAATTGTTTGGTTATCTTAGTGGCTACTTAGATAACTAATGAGTACATTTGTACATTGGTTGCTTGACTAAGTTTATTATGTAATTAGTTACTTCATTAAATTGTTGGTTTTGTGAGTTAATGGTTCTTTCATTGTTAATATACTTGGTTCGAATACTGTATTTTTGAAGCAGCATATCCGTGCTGGCCGTCATTCAACTTCACTCTGTGGTACTCTGTGCAGGAGCCCCAAAGCTTGATGTCACATGGCTGAGAGACAAAGAGCCACTTCATTTCTTGACCCCAAGATTCCGAACATTTGAGGAGTCGGGAGTGTACACCCTTGTGATGAGTAATGTGACAGAAAAGGAAGCAGGATTCTACACGTGTCGAGCTTCGAACACTTATGGACATGCGGACACATCAGCCACTGTAGGGATTGTGCTCCCTGGTAGCGTGCGTGGTGGCAAGCCGGCCATGTTCATAAACCGACCAGACACGGACATGTCTGTTGCTGTTGGCGAAGATATCTCAGTATCCTTCAGGGTTACTGGGGACCCAAAGCCAAAAGGTAAATTCTCATATAGAATGATTTTTTATGAAGTTTGTTTGAGAAAACCATTACAATGATAGGCACCATGCAGGCATGTACTTGTGCAATATAAAATAAAAAAATAAATGTTATAAGAAAACCAAGTTATATGAGAAATATTAGCCATATTATCATATTATTCTCTTTTTTCGTTCACAAACCATTATGCAACGAATGAATTACAACAGATAAAATGAGAATTACTGAATCTCTTGCCATTTATTATGTATCCTGTTTGCCTGCTATCTTTGGCAGTTTGTGTTCTTTGTACTTTCAGGTGGCATTTTTTCATGCAGTTAGAGGTTTTACAGTGTGAGTCCTTTGACTCAATGCTTTACATCGTTTATTTGTAACCAAACTGCAGTACTTTTATTCAAAAGCAAGCGAAGTACACATTCTTGGCCCTTTATCTAAACAAATTGTAATTTTCTTACAGGTGACGAAAGAATGAGTCTGTACATCTGATTTATTTATTTATTTATTTGTAATGATGTCACATGGAAGTAATTCCATACAAGATTCTGACTGCTGTAGTTTTGTGTGGTGAAATAACATTGGATCTGAGGATGGAAGGAAAAATGAGATTTAAGAACTGCCATTCTTTAACACGCAGTGACACTTAATCTTCTTGTATGTCTCAACAGTTACGTGGATGAAGGGACTACGAGACATCACGAACAGTCAGCGTTCTTTGAAGGAAACGCTGGATGATTATGTGCGACTTACACTAAAACGAGCTCTAGCATCAGATGCAGGGACATACTGCATCTTAGCGAAGAATGTTTATGGCTGTGACAGAGCCTTCTTCACCGTTACGGTAAAGTTTTCTAATGATTTTGCTACTTTAAAATAGTGCAATTTGATTGATACACCAGTAAGTTCAAGAAAAAATCAAACATAGCCTTAAGTTGCAAAAACAAAATAGAAATTTTTTAGACATAAAAAAGGATGATGTGACTAATTTTGGGCTCACCTTCCAGATATTCACAGAGTTTACTCTTTAAATCATAAAAATATCAATCTGAGGATCCAGGTCCATGAATTAATGTAAACTCTGTCTACAGCTTGTAAGTGGCTACCTGCTCTTCAACAGTAGATGTCCTACTGGGTTTAGTGATGCAGTTTATTATGTCATTAAAAAGTCATTAGATTCTATTAATATTTTCAACCACATTAGGTTTATACTTCTCTCACCAGATGGCAGAGGGGTTCCATGGATTATGTAAAAACTAAGTTTTATGATTATTTATTAATTACCTTATTATTTTTGTTTACAAGCAATACATTCCTGATCTGATGTCAAACAAAAATTTACAGTATTCATATTAATATATGCGGAAGGCATACAAAAAATAATTTAAACCAAGTAAGGAATCCTGTCATTTTGCTTTTTTAGACATAGGCCAATACTAAATCCTGTTCGTTTCATTGAAGCCATTCATCTGTAACAATTCTTATTACCTGCAGAATGTTTAACCAAGACCAAACTCTCATTCTCCACCTCATGATTTTCTTTCTTTCACTAATGTAACCTAGCAGAAATTTCATCGACTGGAATTTAAAATTGTTGAAACTTTTCAACTCATAAAATTGTTATTTTTATTGTTATACATGATTCAATGCCCATTACTGGAATTATACAGTGTTTCAGAAATCTGAAAAGAGGATTAGGAATGATAATGGGTTAATAGGGATTTTGAATGAAGCGATTATATCTTATCTTTCTTTTCTGCTTGCCACCTGTAGCTACTTACTGCATTTCTGTCAAATTTGATATTAAGGGATTTATACTAAAATTTGTTTACATGTTAACATTCTGGATAAGATTAGCAACAGTAATGCACACTTTACATTTGTTGTCACATTTTAACCAAAACAGAAATGAACTAAAAACTGCACAATATCAAACTTAATGGAAATCCATTCAGTAGTTCGTGAGTTGTTACGTGCAGAGAGAGACAGGTGTGGTGAAACTAATTAGGAACATATTTTAGCCTTTTTCTTGATTTGTAACACGCAAATGGATGGACAATGACCTACAGACATACGTGGCAAAGGTAATAGGTACAATTGTACAACTTTCAGTTTTGAATGCACCAGAAATAGAACAATTAATCTGGTATTATGGTTTCAAACGCTGTATGAATGACTTCACACAACTTTCATAAATTCTTAAACTTAATGTGTGTGCGATTCCAGATTCGGCAACGTGCAAGATCGCTAACACCAAGTTTGGAATGGAACTCTCAGGAAACTTCTAACATTCTGCGAGACATCAGAGACAGCATCGAGATGTCACGTATGAAAGGTAAGTCATAATAGTTATTTTTATGTGTAAAGATGGCTGACACAAGAATATTCAGTGCCAAATTGCAACATTAATTGGACCACATACCTACTTTTCTGTAGATTCCCAAAATTACCAGTGGCTAATTGACTCTATGGTGCAAACCCTCTCTTTAGCAGTTGGCAGTTATTCAGCTGCTGAAGAAATGTCCTGTTTTTATTGAACCTGGAAAAACTTGCCACCAAGTCTTATCCTGAGCTGTTAACATCTTCAAAATTACTTTGTCTTAGGTCCCCACTTTCAGACTGCATCCCTCCAATGATCTCATCTCTTGATGTTTCTGACAGAATTTTCAGATGCATTTCTCATTCCCCGTCTGTTCCGCCACTCTCATCATTTTAGACTTATTCTCGTTAATGATAATTTTCTCCGGTCCTTTTGCATTCCATTTCTCTTAGGTACAGAGATATCCTTGGCATTTTACTCTAACATTACTCATAGACAAAGATGAAGTTTCATATTCATGTCAATCATAAATACATTTCCTTAATATTTCTCTAAACATAAACATAAATGTGAAAAAATGTTTCAGATTTAAGATGTATTTTGTTATATCTGTCATTGGATGCGGTTGTTCGTAGTTTATTTAGTGATGCTTTTTCAGCTGCATAGGTTATGTGGCATTGAATATTAGGATGATTTATGATCTTTGCATTTGAGGTTTTGATGAAAACGATGAATAACCCGTCAGGGTGTTAGCCCACACAAAAGAGAGTCAAACTTGGGACCTTATGAACATAAAGCTTAAATACTAAACAGAGACCTGTGGTGTTCAGTTGTTATTACTTTCAAAAAGTCCTTATGTTGAAATGTGCAAATTGAAAATGAAAGGTATTGGGTTTATTTCCAAGTGAGGTTGCATTCATTTTTTTTCCCCTGAATAAGAGAGAAGAGGTCGTAAGTAGCCAGCTCTTTAAAATAGAGCTGACCTTGAGGTCGTATTTTTAGCATAAACAATGTCTTGAAGCTGCCTTCAGTTCAGCAAGCCTGTCTGTTTACACCTAAACGAAACAAATCAGCCACTCGACAATGGCAAATTCTGGTCTACAAGTCAGGTCATGCGGTCCGATTCCACATAACCTGGCAGTACTGAAGGAACTATATTCTCACTCTTTTCATGGCATCGCTCCAGTTTTGCTGTGCACAGATGTTTGAGTGGTCCAACAATTAGTTGCAAGAAAGAAAAACATTAAGCTTAGTGTTAAATTTTTTTAATCGGGGCCAGTTGCTGTGCGATTGTGAATGAGGTACCACAGAACACTTATCTCAAAAAAGAACAAAAGCAAGAATTTACACCAATTTCCCCCCCCCTCCCCACACACACAAAATCACAGTCGATGCTGCCACGAAGGTGGACCGTGTGTTCCTTGGGTCTGTAAGAAAACTATTATTAGATCATTTCCCCACAGAGATTATTTTATGCCTTCCTCCTTAACACCACGTCTGACGTACTTAGATCTTAGCGGATAGATTATTTTAAAGAACTGTTTATTTTGTTCCCCACTACTGCTAACGAGGTGACACTTAACTTTTGTGGAACCCAAGTTTCATTACAGTTCCCGTCACTGGCCTCTGTCCTGAGGCACATGAAACCAGTTCACTCTCTCACGTACTATTTAAGTTCTATTTTAATATAATTTTACATCTGCGACAAGGCCTTCCAAGTGGTTCCTTCCCCTCAGGTTTTTCAACCAAAAATATTGTACCAAAACGTTTATTATTTCCATCGTGTGTGTTACGTGATCTGTGAGGCGTGGACCTTGTGGGCTTGGACACTGGGACCGTGGGTTCAACTCCTACTCAAGGCATAGATGTTCGTCGGCGTCTTTCTGTAATGTGCCGTCCTTGTACAGGTGGAGGCCTTGCGATGGGCTGATCATTCGTCCAAGAAATCCTACCAAATGTCTAAACAGATCAAGTAACCTCCAAAATAGGCGGCCAAGACCCACATTGGGTTGAGCAAGAGATGAGATGAATAGTACTCGGTGGAGAACACAAATTATGAATCTTCAGACTCACCGCCATTGAAACCTCAATCTTCATTATCTTATTTGCTCCTGCTTCCTGCGTGAATGCGCTATTTGTTTTTAATTTCTGGTGCCGTCTTTGAGACATAAAAATTTTAAAGAAATTAGGCCGCAGATTTTGTCCAGCGTTCCTTGTTAGTATTAGGGATGAACTATAGGGAATCGGAAACGTAAAGATAAATTGGCCTTCAAATACATTATTTTATAACACGAGTGGAAATATGGTCATTAGTTCGACGCACATGCACACATGTGACAACCCCATAAGATCATCATTTACTATATTACGAGCTTAGCTGCTTCCACAATTGACTATTAAGAATTTATAAAAAAGTCAAACATTCTAATGTGATATCGGGAATTGAAGGTATTTGACAGGGCAGTCATGTTTGAGAACCGATGAAATCTTGACCACGACTGTAGACGAAATGAGCGTAAAGGTAAGCAAATACGCTGGGACGAATAAAAAGGAAGTTGTTGGCAACGTGAGAGTGTGGAGAATGCCAAATTAATTACGCCACCACCTCCTCAGCAAGCAGAGGAATGCAAGACCTAGTATTTCCTTCATGTGTCTGAATTTGTTTTGGAGCGTTTTGAAAACTTCCGAGCGAGTGATGGTTTAATTAATAGCGTACAGGCCTATGCCGTTTTAAAATAGCAGGGTCTTTGTAGGCCACACTAGAGACGCCCATCCCCCTGAATTGCGAGGTAGGTAAATATACTCATCAAGAGATTACGCAACGTCAGAAATCACCCAATAACAGTGAGGTGGAAGCTACATTTTGAGAAACGTATTCTTTCAGCATGTGAATGTTACCTTCACCCACAATCTCACCCTCCAACTCCGCCTTTTCTGACTCTTGAGTAGATTTTAGTTCATGAAAGAAGCAGAGCCCTTGCCATTTTTGCATAGTGCAGGTTAGCTTAGCGGTAATTCTCTAGACTTGTATTCGTGAGGTACTCAGTTCGAAGCTCGGCTGTGTAGGTTAACATGCCTGAGGCAGCTCACAGTTCCTTCTGGTTCTTTTAGCAAATGAGTAAACAATACATTAAAAATAGGCCACGGCTGCCATATTCCACGCCATTATCTACAAAGTAATCATCCCACAACGTTTGGTGGCAAGTAATTAACCTTTGCATATGAAACACCGTCGCTAAATAATTTAAGTACAAGGGAGACGGTACACTTCATAGCGCCCTGAAGCCATTCTCGTAGGCCACCAAGCTTATGTTACTGTTCCCTAAGAGTCGGAACGACATGCACCACCGAAGTGGCCGATGTGGGTATCGCGCCCCGATGTAAGGGCCACGGAGACACCAACTCGATCCTGAAAATAGCTCGTGAGTGTTGTGAGACGTTCAGATGTGACTCAGCGGCAGTCACACAGTTAGTCATGTGTTCTAGTTTATTAAACGCACGTCTGGTTGATTAAAGTATTATATACAGAAGAAATAAAACATCTAGCCTTCTGCCACAATTCCAGATGGCCGAACGTCAACAGGTGTGAACAACTAAGCCGAGTCACACTATGGTCCACCAGCAACAGCAGCAGAAGTAGTATGTAAGCCACCAGCAACAGCAGCAGAAGTAGTATTTACGATTAGTGGAACTGAACCCGGAACTTTCAGAAGCTGTGGCGACTACTGATTAACTTACTGGCATAGTATTCAAAATGTCCTGGGTTCCATCCCAACCATCGCCACGAATATTGCAATAGAAATAACGATATATTGACAACCAATCAGCGGAAGACGGAAGTACAGCCAGGTCCAGAAACATTGTGTGTGTCAAATATGCCTCACATCAGGCAAGGAGCGGTGTCCAACTCAATATGTTAACACCTGCAACAGAAATAAAAAGAAAATACCTGCTGACTGAAAGGCGTTAGAAAAACTGAGACGGCACGCCACCTACAATCCTCACCCGTGCGCAGGTTATATTTAGTGCCCTGCTGGTGCAAGGGGTTGACGTTGCGGATTTCAGTTGAGTCCGCGACTACATTCCCGACGTTCCACTATGCCTGTACTGGCGGCAAATGGCTGCTGCCTTGATAGCCAGCAGGAGGAAGATACGTATATCCTGAAGAACTCGTGCTATCCCGGGTATGCTTGTCAGGGTAACCTTCAAGGCTTGAGGAGCTGCTGGGCTGCTAGAAATTGTCTCATCTCGGAATTCCTACTCTACCTCACAGACTATCAAGGTGAGAGGGCACTTTCCGAGTGTCTAAAGCCATTAATTCAGCAGACGCTCCATTATCTTACGATCCACAAATGTTGTAGCTACCAGCGTGAATGGTCATACACCAATACTGTAACGTACCGTTGTATTTATTATGTAATGTTCTGTAAAGGTGCAATAATTTTAAGAATATTAGTGCTCTGGATATGTGTTGCAATTGTTATGACGTGTGAAGTGTATAGGTGATTCTTATCGTGTTTTGTTTTGAAATATTGTCTTGAGCTCTCAACCGCCGTCCTTGATGGTAATATTCATACATGTGGTTGGAATCTGAAGGCGGGCTTTCGGGATTTCATAGACACGTTTAAAGAGTCAAGATCAGAGCTCAGAATACGTTTTAGTTCTTAAAAATAAGTGATGTTCAAGTTAATTGCACCTATAGCTATAACAGTGTGTTGATTTCGATGAGTGTTGGGTTCGAGTGACTCAAGATCAGATTTCAGTGACTGTCGCCTTGAGAAAGATAATGGCTGAACAAGTCATTAGAATTTTCTTATTGCAGCATTATTCTGTGCAAGTAGCAGGCAGCAGTAACCCTACGTCTAAAACGTCGTATAGAATGGAAAAGCTTTTAAATCCGAATCTGAAAGTCGTGGGAACTAACTTTCCTGGACAGAATTTTGCTCCTTACTATTTCACATTTAAGTAAGACCAAAGTGTACACCAAACGATAGTATTCAAATGTGTATTGGAGAAACAGAATGACAAGTTGTGGATTGAACTGTCTTAGAAAATAGTTCAGTCGGTTGTAGAATGTTTTAACGACTTTGTGTTTACTGCAGTAGGCTATTTATTTAGAGTTGAATGATGTACGAATAGGAAGAATAAGATAATAAGAATAAGAAGAGGGTGAATACGTTCGGTAAAACTGGAAAGACTGTGAAGGAAGCGGTCGTAGCCTATTTCAAGATTTTTTCAGTCTGTTTGTTGGAACTAGTTAATTTCAGGAATAAGTAAACCAGATAATGAGGTCGTTAATAGAACTCGACGACAGTGATGAATTGCTCAGAATATAACGCAATCCTCTTCTTGTGTTGAACAAAGAAAAACATGTTTTCTTTGTCTCCTTTTCAGTTGGCACAAATTCACAAAATCCGTTGCCTTCATTGCGTCCTGTTTCTTAATGTGGTGGTCGTTCCGTATAGTGTACGAGCTTATTGGTCCGGTACAACTTTTATAACCACATTATGCTATTTACTAAATAAATTTTAGTTATTTTACGAAGTCCCTAGGTTATTTTTATCCGCCTCGCCTGTTTTAGCTTACGGTACGTCATTTGTAACACACCAACAAATTTTATATTTACGAGTCGAAAACCGAGATATAATAATAAAGCGAACGCGCCGGAATTGCTGAACAAAGCATACGTTTCTTAACTTGTTCATTTCCGTACTTATCATTTTCATATATTCTGCTTACATTTTCACATTCTTGCAACAGATCGTCACGGAAATTTACTTGTAGTTTGAGAATAACCCAGAGTTTGGTTTTAGATATAATAAACCTGCCAAGAGCTACAGCTTTATTCTTCCTTTCATACACCGGGTTTCACAGTAACATAGTCCGTCCTGCAACATATTTGACAGCAATTTTATTAATGTTTCACACAATATTAGTACATTATTACAAATTGTTGCCATTCGAAGAGAATCGCAGAGTGGAATTTCGTGTAATGTGCTGAATTATAGTTGAATCAATTGTCTCATTTCCACTTCTTTAGATACCGGTTCTTATTCTTCCTTTGCCGTTCTGTAAACTGATAGCAGCTTAAAATTAATATATTGTAACCCCGGCTACCATGGCGACAGCGGTTTCAGATAAGCGCGGTCTGTACTTTATTGAAGATGGCTGTCTTCTGGGTTGGTGCGCTGTGTCGTCCGGTAGAAGTTTACCAACGTTTCAGAGGTCCTTACTGCCTCCATCATCAGGACGATGAGTCATCAGACTACTGAAAAGTTGGTAAACTTCTACCGGACTACACGAAGCAGAAACCAGAAGACAGCCATCTTCGGGCTCACCGCCGTGAAGACCTCAGATTCTACTAGTGATAATACTGGTGCCAGTAATTGAACCAGGGGCAATTGAGTTCCGTTTCTTTGTGATCGTGTAAGTAAGCGTCAGTTGATTTCACAGTGACATTGCCGATAACCACCTTACTGCAGACGAGAGTCATTATTGTGTTTGGGGTTTTTGCCGATCATGCTAAACAAGTCTCAGGAATTTCATCATGAAGTTATTAGGAACATGACAGCGTACCTAACATTCTTTCACATAAATTATAGTATATATTGCTGTTAACAGTTCCATTATTTTTTTTTAACGGAGGTAATTTCATTCAAGTACACATATCATACGTGGCAAAGAAACCTTGTAACGGCTACAAATTGGAAAACTCTCTCAATTACATGCTGTCTAAGAAAACATATGTCGCTTAAACGCATCGTTCACTTAGTGCCGACTTCCTTCTTTGTTATCCCAACTACAAAAAAATCAGTGTAGCTGCAAACACTAATAACATGTAGCTCAAGTTGTTTGTTAAAGATCAAGATTTCCGTACTTCAGTTTCTTGCCGACCGATTAAGTGAGCAGGCTAGAGACTGTGCAGTTCAGTTATTCTTCCTTGTGATACAGCACTGGATTTAACGCTTTGAAGCTCATCTAAATAATTTGTTAATATTTAGTCCCTGCCTCCATTACAAATATTAACTCTTGCTGTTTAAAGAAATCATTTACTTTTGCTTTGCGAATCATACGAAATCCATATAAACTCGGGTAATATTCAGAATTATTGATTGTTTAAGCGTTTGGTGCATGTATAGGATGTACCATTTAAAACGCCACCCAACAACAGACAGTTCTACGACACAAAAATGTCAGAAGCTGGTCCAGCCGCGTGTTATACACTTCTCAAACCTCGCTTATAACACTCCAGTCAAGGCCACCCTGGTAGCTAGGCCCCTGATCACGTCAGTTGCGCAAAAGCTGTGAAGGTGCGAACACAGTTTATTCACTGGCAGAACGTGTGTTCACATACTACATACATCCAGTCTTCAACTTCATCGTCTCAGTACAGACTGGGTTCATGTCGAACGTAATACACCGAAAATGAAAATAATACTTATTTGTATGACACGACTTGTTTTATCATTCCATCATATCGCATCGAAAGAATTATTTCGCGAATAGCCGGTCTACAGGTGATGTGTATCTGTCTTCAGATGTTCCCGGCCCGGTCGGCGGGCAGCCTGTGGTCGTCGACAGTGGTCGCAACTGGGTCACGCTCTCCTGGCCCAAGTCTGAGGTCCGTGGAAGTGCCCCGGTCCTGGCGTACCGTGTGGAGGCGTGGATCCTCGGAGGAGACGGTGGAGCCCGCTGGATCGAGGTTTGTGTTCAAGAAAAGTACAGACGTTACTCCGGACAGAATTTGA